CCTAAACCATAAGAAAAGATCATTAGACTCTTCAATAACTAATTATTCTGTTCATTATTTTAACATTTGGATCTACAGAATTTTTTTAACTGAAGCATTAACATTTTGGCCTTATTATATATGTACATAATTACTTTGTAAATTGCTAAAAAAATGCAAAATTATCATTGGCTCATTGCATGCTCACATCATTTATTAATTGTCTGTATATATTGAAAGGTTTCTTTGAACTATCACATTGAGACAAGGGAGCTCTGTCATAATTCAATACTCAAAAACAATTCGATTATAACTGTTAAAAGAAAAACGTCCCATTTCTAATAACTGATATCTAACAGACTATATAAGGTTTTGTTTACCAAAAGTTGATCTGTTTTTACCTTTTTAGCTCACCTGACCACGAAGTGGTCAAGGTGAGGTATAGTGATGGGGCTATGTCCGGCGTCCGTCGTCGTGCGTCGTCAACAATTGGGTTGTTAACAGTCTAGCAGTCACAGTTTTGATTGGATCATCATCAAACTTTGTCAGAATGTTTGTCTCAATGAAATACAGATCAAGTTCGAAGATGGGTTGTCTCGGGTCAAAAACTAGGTCACAGGAGCTAAAAATAGAAAAAGCTTGTTAACACTCTAGGGGCTGCAGTTTTCATCCAAATATTTTGGAAATTTGTCAGGAAGGTTGTTTTGATGATTTCTAGGTCAAGTTCGAAGATGGGTCATGTCTGGTCAAAAACTAGGTCACAGGAGCTAAAAATAGAAAAAGCTTGTTAACACTCTAATGGTTGCAGTTTTCATCCAAACATTCTGGAAATTTGTCAGAAAGGTTGTTTTGATGATTTCTAGGTCAAGTTCGAAGATGGGTTATCTCCGGTCAAAAACTAGGTCACAGGAGCTAAAAATAGAAAAAGCTTGTTAACACTCTAGTGGCTGCAGTTTTGATTAAAATATTCTGGAAATTTGTAAGGAAGGTTGTTTTAATGATTTCTAGGTCAAGTTCGAAGATGGGTAATGTCTGGTCAAAAACTAGGTCACAGGAGCTAAAAATAGAAAAAGCTTGTTAACACTCTAATGGTTGCAGTTTTCATCCAAACATTCTGGAAATTTGTCAGAAAGGTTGTTTTGATGATTTCTAGGTCAAGTTCGAAGATGGGTCATCTCAGGTCAAAAACTAGGTCACAGGAGCTAAAAATAGAAAAAGCTTGTTTACACTCTAGTGGCTGCAGTTTTCATCTAAATATTCTGGAAATTTGTCAAGAAGGTTGTTTTGATGATATCTAAGTCAAGTTGGAAGATGGGTCATCTCCGGTCAAAAACTAGGTCACAGGAGCTAAAAATAGAAAAGCTTGTTAACACATTAGGGGCTGCAGTTTTCATCCAAATATTCTGGAAATTTGTCAGGAAGGTTGTTTTGATGATTTCTAGGTCAAGTTCGAAGATGGGTTATCTCCGGTCAAAAACTAGGTCACAGGAGCTAAAAATAGAAAAAGCTTGTTAACACTCTAGTGGCTGCAGTATTGATTCAAATATTCTGGAAATTTGTCAGGAAGGTTGTTTTGATGATTTCTGGGTCAAGTTCGAAGATGGGTCATCTCAGGTCAAAAACTAGGTCACAGGAGCTAAAAATAGAAAAAGCTTGTTTACACTCTAGTGGCTGCAGTTTTGATTCAAATATTCTGGAAATTTGTCAAGAATGCTGTTTTGATGTTTTCTGGGTCAATTGCTAAGATTGGTCATGTCCGGTCAAAAACTAGGTCACAGGAGCTAAAAATAGAAAAATCTTTTTAACACTCTAGTGGCTGCAGTTTTAATCCAAATTTCCTGGAAATTGGTCAGGAAGGTTGTTTTGATGATTTCTATGTCAAGTTTGAATATGGGTCGTGTCCGGTCAAAAATTAGGTCACATTGCCCAAATATGGAAAAATCTTTATAACACACTAGAGGTCACATGTTTGACTTAGTTGTCATTAACTTGGTCATGATGCTTGTTTAAGACATTGCTTGGATGCGGTTGTGTCAGGTGAGCGATCCAGGGCCATCATGGCCCTCTTGTATTTAATAAAATTCAAGCAATAGAATGTTATTATTTTTTTACTTTTTGTTTATGCTTATCAAAATAATATTTATTGTTAGCGCTTTTTTATGGATTGCCAAATATTGCTTTCAGTATTATTTAAATAAAATTCACATTTGTAACAGATTATTTTTAAAAATATACAGGTACTTTTTTCACACTTTATATATGTATAGGTTTGATCCATAACTGTGATCTTAACAGTAGATATAAGGTTTTTATTGGTTGTTATATTTTGCAGTAATATATCTATTATAGATTATAATTGTTTATATAGAAAACTTCTTTGATAATAAATTAACTTTTGCTTCAAACCTAACTGTTACCAGGACAAACCTAGCTGTCACAAGTGCACACCTACATGTAACCGTTACCAGGACAAACCTAGCTGTCACTGGTGCACACCTACATGTAGCCGTTACCAGGACAAATCTTGCTGGTTACCTAACTGTTACTAGGACAAACCTAACCCTTACTAGAACAAGCGTCATTGTGACTAGGACAGACTTAATTGTGACTAGGTCAAACGTAATTGTGACTAGGTAAAACATAATTGTGACTAGGTCAAGCATCTTTGTGACTAGGTCAAACATCTTTGTGACTAGGTCAAACATGATTGTGACTAGGTCAAGCATCATTGTGACTAGTTCAAGCATCATTGTGACTAGGACAGACCTAATTGTGACTAAGTCAGACCTAATTTTTACTATGACAAAGCTTCCTGACCAGGACAAAGTCTTCCACTCTAGTCAAATATTTACATTTTGATTGATAGGTCAGAATAGAATGACAAATGCATGGCATCTAGTATAATATGAATAGATGATAATTATGATAAAAATACAAGTTTTTGAATCAACATGTCACTCTTGTTATTCTTTCTTATCCCTACAAAGCAAATATTGTAGTTGTATTTATTCTCGCACCTTAAACAGCAAAGAAGAAATATAGGAAAGCTCAAATGATAATTCATTTGTCAATTTATAGCTTTCTTTTAATTAAATCATGAATATCTTTACATATCTGATGAATTAGATTTTGTGAATTTTCATCACAAAATTAATCAGAACAAAAGTTCTCAAGTTAGGCAGACTATCTAATGCAAACTTTTTAAGTTATTGGTTTGAACAATATTATACTTATTTTAATTGTTTTTAAGTTACGTTTAAGAGTTGCTAATGACAGTGAGTAGAATGAATAAATACTGCTGTTTTTGTGAAGTACATACATGTCAATGCCTATCAGGAACTTGCCTACAAAAATAAGAACAATTTAGGTATTTTATTAACTAATAGCTGAAACGAATCCGGAAAACGTCATTACTTTTCATATCAAATATCTATTTCAAACGTTACAGGTAACATAAATGTTAGTTGAAAGAAAAAGCCTTTATAAAACATTTAGTATTGAAAATTTCACAATTAGTCGGGCGACTTTCTTGGAATGACCATAATTCATCAAAGGAATTTTCTCTATCACGTGATTCTCACTGGGAATGGCGGGGAGACAACCACTATTAAATAATAATGTCGTAATAAGTTTCTATTAGGTGAGAATTGTCATTGGTCCTTTATTATTCTGAGTTTTGATGTCATAATGCAAATAGTATTAGAGCATTTGTACATCTTTAGTGTAGCAATAATATTATATGTTATTTTAATTCCATTATGATAAAAGTTTGATGATTGAAACTTAGGCAGTTGTGTTCCAATTTAAACCTATTGTTTTCGGCGTATTTGCCATATGAATGGCTTTTGCCGTTTCTATAATAATAATAAAATAAATAATAATACCATCGACAATAATTATTATCATACAATCACTAATCAACTAATAACAAACAATAATAATTAAATTAATATATAGTAATTTCTTAGAAAACCCTGTGGCAAATAGGTGATCAATAAATCAATAACCCTCTGGCGGCGAAAGGGTATATAATAAAAGCTTTATTATGATTAAGAGAAATGTCGTAATATGTAGTCGTTCTAAAAACTAAAAAGTCAAACCTTAGGAACAAGCATTCCATAAATTAAAGAAGATTTTTTTTAAATACTTGAAAAAAAGTAGTGGCCACCTCAGTTGCGAATATTTTGACAAAAAATACATTTTATGATCGAACGAAATACAAAACGCAGTGAAAGAAAGTAATGGAATGATATGGTTAATTGATGATCCTTATTTATCACACTTTATTCCGCCAAAAATTATAGATCCATATCTAGTCAAATTTGATTAATTTCTAGAACCATAAAAAGGCAAAAAAGAATAATATAAAGCCTGCATAAATCACTTTATGTTGTGATCAAACTTCAAAGCATAAAAACATGTTAAAACACGTAAATCAAATGAAAAAAATGAACAAATCACGATTTAAAAATTTACAATAACAGGCTACAATAAACAAAATAGCTGAGAACAGAACCCAGGTATGTGCAAAACAGCACAATGAACTGAGTTTAAAAAATTTAACCTTTGTAATTGTTCACTGAATATAAAAAGTAATACTTCCAGCATCTTCATCTGATTGGTTGATTGATTTAGATAATTTATATGATCCTTTTGACAAGAAAAAATTCTGATTGATTGACATATAAATTAATTTATCTAACTGGAAACATAGCCGCCCCAAGCACTTGCTCAAAAGGTATTCAGTCTGCAACACTCAATGACCATGAATGATCAGACATATAACAACACTGAAGTGAAACCATGTATTAAAGAATAGTAATATCAGTAAAACTGTAAGACGCAGGTGTAAGTTTAATAAATTGATTGATAAAGGACGGATTTTTCTGCCTGTGTTTTTTCATTTAGAACACAGTATTATGACGCTGTTTCTTGAGATCAGATTCCACTTTGTTGACAGGGCATCATTGATCATTTTTTTCCGATTGGAATAACTGTTGTGAAGTGGTGCAAAAAGACATTAACAAACTTATTGATTATAGGATAGTTTTGGAAATTGCCTAGCATAAACTGACTCGTAGTGTCGTCAACATTTGCCGAGTACCAGGCAATAAGATTTCACACGTTCAGAGTTGCGTGCACCAATTTATAAAAGCAACAACTTAATATAATTGCTTTTCTATAAATCATTTAAAATGTGTCTGAACAGGAACTATTAAAATTGATTTAAAAGCCAGGATGCACTAAAAGTCAAATGCTGATATTATTTTTATATACAAATCAATTATATCGCTGTGATATGAATGAGTATAATTATGATATGTTTTATATATTGCAATGATAAATTCAATATGGTTTCTCTAAAGTTAAGGAATTATTTCGTTGATATAGTTATTGTTTTGCTACTTTTTCAATACGCCAAAAAATATGTAAAATTATATGAAGTTCTTGTCTTCATTTAAGATCTCAACCTACTAATAAGCTGTTATAATGTTTTAATGTAGAACGTTCATTAAAATCGGACATGAATGTCGTGGAGATGTTGTTTAATGAAAATGAGCATCTGATGACTGCTTAAACGGACAATTTCAATAATCTTAAAAACGGGTTGTTTGTTTTGATGTAATTAAAGCCACAGCAGCAGTGTAAATGTCATCTGGTAACTAAGCTTAACTTGTGCAGGAAAACCTTAACTTTGTGCCTTGCTAGCTTCCTCACATGAAATAATTCAAAGTCTCTGACAAGAATCGAGCACACAGCGATTAGGGGTGATATTAGGGTATCTAGATCTGCCACAGTTGCCCTGAGTTTGTGACAACAATATTGCTTCAAGAAGTATCTTTTTACTAGCACCAAATATAGTTATTAGAAATTATTATTAGAAAATAAGTTGAAAACAAATAATTGTAAAAAATACCCCTTTTTACTCTTTTGATGAAAAAAACCACATTCACAAGCTCATTGATTACAGAATTGGCTGTGAAATGGCCTAGCGTAAAATGACTAATTGGAAGCATTTTACGTGTTCCAGTCAATAATGTTCTCCATAATCAAAGCACGCTCAAAGAGATGAAAACTGCAAATAGATATTGTATTGGTTTTATGTAGAGGAAATGAAACTACTGTATTTATAGATTTATTTGTATGTTTTAGATTTGTAATATGTTTTCAATTTAAAAATGTATTAACAGCATACTAAGAGCACTAAGATATTACGTTTAATGTACATTGTACCTTTAAATAATGACGTTTCCATCCTTAGTGGAGTAACTGATATTGTACTAGTAAACACTAATGGTTTGCCAAAGATACAATTCGCCTGATAGTTCAAAACGACTTTTAAATGAAATGGCCTTTAGTCAAATTTATATCTATTGGTAATTCCTAAAATTGATGAAGTTATCTCTATTGTAAGATAAAGCGGTTTAACTAGAAACTTTTTAAAACGAAACGAAAGAAACAAATTCTTATGATTTCAAAAGTCGCAAATGATTCAATATGTGTTGCGTAACAATTTGTGTGAAGTAGACAAGAAGTAAAACAATTATCATTTAGACTTTCCAGTTGTACATTTACTACATTTCAGAGCTTCATCTGATGTTAGCCCATAATGGCTTGACATCTAACAGATATTTATATTGTAAGATTCCTTTCTTTCATAGCAAAATTTTATTTCAAATTAAGTTGATTTAGTCTTGCAGTGAATATTTTAAAATTCCTACACTGTCATGCTACCAACACAAATTCATTAATGTTCAATTTAAATTAAGTTATGAGTTTGTATGATGATTTTTGGCAGAGTTATGCCCCTTTTACTTTGAAAATAATATGAAATTTTCAGTTTCCGTTCATTGTCTCTCAAACGGTATTACACATTCAACTCAAACTTGACAAATGGATATGTCATGAAGAAATACAGGTCATGTTTGAATTTGGTCATGGTTCTATGATTTTTGGCAGAGTTATGCCCCTTTTACTTTGAAAATAATATGAAATTTTCAGTTTCCGTTCATTATCTCCCCAACGGTATTACACATTCAACTCAATCTTGACAAATGGATATGTCGAAGTTGGTCATGGTTCTATGATTTTTGGCAGAGTTCTGCCCCTTTTACTTTGAAAACAATATGAAATTTTCAGTTTCCGTCCATTATCTTCCCAACAGTATTACACATTCAGCTCAAATTTTACATATGAATACGTTAGAAGAATGCGCAGGTCAAGTTTGATTTGGTCATGGTTCAGTGATTTTTGGCAGAGTTATGCCCCTTTTACTTTGAAAATAATATGAAATTTTCAGTTTCCATTCATTATCTCCCCAACGGTATTACACAGTCAACTCGAACTTGACATATGGATATGTCAAAGGAATGCGCAGGTCAAGTTCGAATTTGGTCATGGTTCGATAATTTTTGGCAGAGTTATGCCCCTTTCACTTTGAAAACAATATGAAATGTTCAGTTGACGTTCATTATCTTCCCAACAGTATTACACATTCAACTCAAATTTTACATATGGATACGTTAAAAGAATGCGCAGGCCAAGTTTGAATTGGGTCATGGTTCAATGATTTTTGGCAGAGTAATGCCCTTTTTACTTTGAAAATAATATGAAATTTTCAGATTCTGTTCATTATCTCCCCGACAGTGTTACATATTCAACTTATATTTTACATATGGATATGTCAAAGGAACGCACAGGTCAAGTTCGTATTTGGTTATGGTTCGATGATTTTTTTTATGCCCCTTTAACTTTGAAAAAAGGAAATTTTCAGTTCACATTCATTATCTTCCCAACAGTTGTACATATTCAACAACAAATTAAAGATATGGATATGTCATAAGAATGCATTGGTCAAGTTTGAATTTGGTCATGGTTTGATGATAGCTGACAGAGTTATCCCTTTTGAACTTTGAAAAAAAAATCAGAAATTTTAAGTTCCCGTTCATT